CCCAATAAACACACTTTTTTCCTGCTTGGAGTTGTTAGTAAATACAGCACCACCCCCTTCCTTATTTCTCTCAACCCATCACTCCAAAATAGCATAACATTAACAAGGACAATTAAATTGTTTTGGCTGTGGCACAGCAATTTGACTACGAAGTCCTTGTTGTTCAGGGAAAAAATGTTCCAAAGTAGATTTCACTTGGTATGCTGCAAGCATTTCTACGGCCCCTGTCAAAGGGCTCAGAGAAAACCTTCCTTCCTTCCTCTCTTTGTCTCTTAGCTGCACTGCTGAGACATTTGAGGGTTACAGTTGTTTTCTGAATGAAACTTGAGCCGCAGCCACATGCAAAGAAATGAATTTATAGCTATTCAACTCTTTTGCTATCATAAGATCCTTAAAGTCAACACAGAACCAAGGAGGGAAGCCTGTGGGCTATTGGAAGTAACCACAGCTCTAGTACAAGAATGATACAATTATACCAGAACCCTCATATGGTCTGTTTAAAAAAAGTCACGTCATTCCCTATTTGAGAGAGAGAGGTTCAACAAGGTATGAGACTGGAGGCAAAAATCATTCACAGCAGAAACAGAGGCCTCACACAGATCCTGTGGGTGTATCCAAAACGTCTGATTGGTGAGTCCCAGAAAAGACTTAGCCAATGAGTTTGCTAGAAAGCTTGACCATTCATGAAAGCCAGCATGGCACTGTTTTGCTTAAAGAACAGGAAGTGGGATGGGGGGAGAAGGGGCTGTCTGTTATCACTTTCCATCAAGGTTTCCACTGTAGCTAAGCAAAACTCTGAACTTTACATTCTAACTTCATTTACTCAAGACATCAAAAAGCCTTGCTCTTGAAATATTTTTGGAATACTGCTAAAGCACAGTTTAATTTTAGGGGGCCACTTGTTTGTATATTGGAAATCAAACTCTGTCTTTTTCAGTATGCTCTTGCCATGAAGTCATTTTTTGTGCTGATTGAAATCATCTGTTTTCAGTTCTCTGACAAATTAATTGAACTTTCCTCTGACTCAGGGGCCTTCTGACTTTTGAAGCAGATTTTGTCTACATGCCATCTCCCAGACGAACACAATTTAATTTTCTAGGCTTTAAATGAACTTTACGTTTCCAGAAAGCCAATGAAAGAAGCATTTGTTCTGGTGATAGCATTTCAGCTTTTCCAAATATGGCACAAGAATAGAGGCTTATAAAATGTTTATTTTACTGCAACTGATAACTAACTCCAAAATGTGTTAGATCCTGTGATCCACAGTGATGATAATGTCTCCAGTTCTGAGCTGCTTTTATTCAAGTGTATTAAAAAGTATTTGCTAAATGAATGAGAGAGCGGCTGTAAATACTGAACTGTGACAGTATCATGCCCAGGTCATTTTGTTGTGTTGATAAAACAGCCACTATTGAAGGGCTAGAATTCCAGTTCAGTTCCAACTTACACAGATGAGCTTAAACTGCCTAGTCCAGTATGGGTCTTCACTTTATCTAAGTAAGTTTGGGACATTTGGATCCAGTATTTTCATTCAGGCTACCCTCTGGTCTGAACTGTATTCTATCACTCATCCCTTGCACAAGTGTTTTACAACACTTGAACTGCTCCAAATTTTGCCTTTGGATTGAAGAATGTGACTGCACCGAAGTCCATGGGAGCGGTACAAGTATATCCAAAGGCACAATTTCACACAGAGAGTAACTAATGTCAGAAAAGACAAGAAAATAACAGGTTTCCAAACTGCTGCACAATCATTGAAAATTCAGCCTGAGTCACTTCCTTGTTCAGCATAACATACGTACTTTTCTTCCTCTCATGTTCTTATAGCACAATTACAGAATTTTCCAGTGTCTGACATATAATATAGCCTGGTACATAGCCCTGGCAAAGACTTCTATGATGCACAGCTCCCTTGGGACCTAGCAGATCAGCAGACCAACCAAGTTCCATGGTCTACATTTCACCACAGCCACGTGTGCCCAGATGTTAAAGCAATCCCACTTCCACATATTGCATTTTGACCTGTTGACTCTTATTTGAAGGTGATTTAAACTCCAAGCTGACCAATCCTTCTCTGTGCCTTTAGCAGGGTGTCTGGTGACATTTATGTGCATTTTGATGTCCTCATTAAGGGTGTTGAGTTGTGTGAGCCACATTTCCAATTGTGTAGCCAACGATGCTTTTTTTGAGCAGATCTGCTGAGGCTAGGAAGCTTTTCTGCGATTTCAGGTGGCTAACAGCTGCAGTGTGGCCACAGAGTGTGTCTTTGTTGTCTTTGACCTGTCATGATCATTCTGTTTTGTTTGCAACTATTCTCTTGATGTCCAGTGGAGTGATTCCAGGAAGCACATACAAGCTGTTTGTATTTTCTGGTTTTACACAGCCTGAAATGCAATTACACTCAAAGAATACATGCTCTGAATGGATGTCTTTGAATCATATCTGGCACTGTTACTGTCAAAGGCCCCAATTCAGAAAAATACCAAAATAGGCACTTAACTTTGAGCATGTGCTTAAAAGCCTTGTTGAATAGAGATGGATCTAAGATAATGCTTAGAGTTATACAAATGCTTTGTTGAACTGGAACCAAGGAGAATTTACTATTCCTCTATGTCAGTCGTGCTCAACCCCCAGCCTGTGGGCCAGATCTGGCTCAGAGAGCCATGCCATCAGACCTCTGGGGTTGTTCAGAGGTCCAAAAATGTAGTGGTGGAAGATAGGTAGCAGCAGTGGCTCCTCTCCTTCTGACAAATGTCCAGAACTGTGGAGAGCCCTGCAGGCCAGATAGCATGCTAGAAGTGTCATGGGGCCCCAATCCTGGGGAGTGGGACTAAGGGGACTGCATGAGGCCTTACTCTGGCATGCAGGATCTGATCCGGCCAGCTTTACCAAAATGTTGAGCACCACTGGTCTGTGTCCATATTGTCTATCTGAAAGTCTACCACTACCATAATAACTCAGAGACTCAGATTCGTTAATGAAATTATCTTAAAAAGCATTGTGTGTGGTATGGAAGGATGATTTATCTATTGTATACATAAAGTAAAACTGATAAATAGATAAGTTAAATGACTTACTCAAGGTCACTGAGAACTAGTGGCACAAATGGGTATTAAACCCAAATTTCCTGCATCTCAGTCCTATGCTTTAACCACACTGACTATAGCTGTCAGGGATTTGTGAATTATCAGCAAAAGTACCAGGTAGATTTTGACTGCAGAGCTTTTTATCTTGCGCTGACTCAAAACCATTTCTACTGATTTTTTTTTAGTCAATTAATTATTTCCATTTAAAGACAGTTTGGAGGCACTGAATTAATTGAAAATCCCATATCCAATAAAGTATTAAAGAAGAATTAAAACAAAGACACAAAAATTGCACTAAATGATAATCACAGGTAAATGAAGTGTCAACACAAAACCTCAGACCCAAACATTCCCAAATGTCACAGAAATATATCAACATAACCAGGTTTGTAGTCTGACATTCGCTTCTTTCTAAAGAATTGGACAGACTGCTTCTGGATGCCTCTTAACTTTGATGAAGTCTCTGATCCCTACATGGGAGTTTTGCAGTCTGGACTCTTTCTTAAGTTTTACTTTATACTGTTAGAATGTGCATGGCTGGCAGTTAGAAAAATCATCTTTTGACTTGCAAACAGAGCACAGTCTCAACAAAGCCCTATTTAATGCCACTTTTCCAGTGCAAGAGGATGATTTTGGAACCCTTCAGCATCACTTTAGCAAGCACTCCATTTTCAGAGACCAACGTTAGCATCTAAGTTTAACTTCAATCTCAGAATTGTTAGGGCTTTCAAGAAGATTGCCATAAAATTTCTCAGTAGAATGATATATCTTAGAATGCTGAATGGTTTGCAATCTACTCACATAATAATGTTGATAATGATATTCAGTTTCTTTGCTTAAGCTTTCCTGTATTTATTATGCAAGCCTAAGAAGCAAAAACGAAGCTAGAGATTGGACATGGAATCTGCAGCTGTTCAAACTTTTTACTATCCGACCACAATAGTTACTAAGGCACATTGAAACTTTCTGTTGTGAGTGTACTATTAACACTTCAGGGTTGTGAAGCAACATGAAAAACAGTCACTGTTTCAGGCTTTTTCAGAAGTATCTTGGAAAGGGATGCATATATGCTTCTGGACCGTCCCCCCGTCCCTCTCCATTATATCCCATTTAGTTCAGTAGTGTAAAATAAAACCTCATTAGATGATATTGCATTATTATGTTATATATTCTAACTATGAGTTATTAAGACATTTTACTGTATTACAGCCATTCCCAGGTAATGCCATTCTTATATATTTTTTCAACCAAAACTACCACTGATTTCAAAATTCCCATTGAAATCAAGACGACTTGCCTCACCAGGGATGGAGTGAAGAGCCCAGAGAATGGCCATTAAGTTACTGTGCATTTTAAGGCAGAGATGGGGAGTTATTTAGGCAATCCTGAAGATTCTGGTGACTAAGGCTTAAGTAAGATACCATCCTTATAAGAATTTATGTCATGTGAAAGCACGTTCAACAGAGGCAACTTTATTTTACTGGTCTATAAGTGTTTTTGCTTCCTAAAGCCCAGGCCATGTGTGACTGTCAGAACAAGAGACTGTATCGCTGAATACAGATGTTAATGTTTAAAAAGAGGTCTTTTAGGTTGTTCTTTAAAATACAGGTCCTTAATTATTTTCTTCATGTGCTGTCTACCCTGATCTCCCCTAGTTCCCCCATACAGTGGGGGTAGAGGTGGGGAGGGGAATAGAGCTGTGCAGGGATAGTGAGGAAGGGGAGGCAGCTGAACCAAACTGGAGTGAAATTTGAGTGCTTCAAACATGCGTCTCTCCATGACCTTAGATTCCAACTTGTAGATAGGGAGTGTAAGTTGGTCATCAGACCACCTGGAGAATTACATGGCAGTGGAGGCCTACAGTGCTGGGAAGAAATGCCAGTGAAGTTGGCCACAAATGATCATTTTTCCTTGGCACACACTGGAGAAAAAAGACTCATACTTAGTCCACCTGGCAAGTTAAATAGAGCTGGGGAGTAAAGCCAAGCCACAAGAAGAGTAAAACACAAAAAATAAAGCCCTAAAAGGCCTGTCCTTGATAACACCTAACACACTGTACAACAATAACTATTTTAATCTGTGAGCCATATTTCAGTGTGCTTTTGTGCCTGTGGGGTAAGCATAATGGATAGGAATGAAATGGCATAGCAATAAAGTAAATTCACCCTATCATGGTATGCAGAATTTGGTCCTATTTTGCCGTTGAGTATGTACATGCAATCAGTTCTTGTATCACTGTAAGCATTTGGCTCTCATAAGCACCAGAGGTAGAGAAAATCACCCCCCCTGGAGTCAAATCCAGTTTAATGTCCTTATTATGAAATTGTCCACTGAGTTCAATATGGCTATGCATGTGAGTGAGGCAAGTACAACCTGTCATGTAGAACATCTTATGGCGGCTGTTAAAAGTGTGAATATGTGATTATCACATCTGGCACTGGCACAGCTTTAGCAAATTGTCATGGGTTTTCATCTAAAATGAGCAACATGCTCTTAGGGCTAGATAGGATGATATATTAGAAGAACTCAGGAAACATTTACCTGGTTTCTTAAGTAGAATTTCTCCTAAGCTGTCCTCACACCCCTTTTATTTTAGTTTTTGCCAAAATTCCTGCAAATAAAGTTTTGTTAAGAAAGGAGCAAATTTTTGACTAGCAGGTAAGCTTCATTTAATCATGGACCACAATATATTTTGTTGTGAAAAATAATTTCTTTTAGGCAGAAGCAGAAGTAATTAGTATAAAGTTCCAGCCAATCAGAAACCAAAACAATACCATGTGACTTACATTACCAGTCTTAACTAGGAGATTGTGATGCTTGAGGCAATGCTTGCAACGCATTTTTCACAAATAACACCTAGAGTGAAAAATGCTCCCATGTTGCATTTTGAATAGCAAATTTAGAAAAGTCCTGTCTGTTCACAAGCAATTTATGAGCAAGAAAAAGGACTGCATTTGCTAAATGCTTTGTTGCAAATGATATGCCTAGATTTTTTACCTTAGCAAGTACAGCTAATCATGCTATCATACTATGCAATGCAAAAATGATTCAATTGTGAGATTCATTGATTCCACAGTTTCAAAGGATATTTTTTGTCTGGAGGTATTTTGATGATGCATTGTGTCAGTTAAACTTTTTAGAAAACAGAAGTCACTTCTTTACAGGAACTTACCAGCGGTCCGTTCAGCTAAACCACAAATACTTGATATTTGAATACAAACTGATGTCAGCTTTGACTTGGTGAGTTTTAAAACTACGGTGAAGGAATTTTTTTGATTAAAACAATAACTGACCTGAAATTGCTCCTAAGACTGTATGTGAATGGCCTTTTTTGTTGTTCTGAAATGTCCTGTGACCTGTCCCCCAGCCACTATTTTTTTTTTCATTTCCGTGCACCTCTGCACTTCCAAGTTCTGGCCAGGAGGAAAAGCAGAAGTAATAAAATATCACAAGAAATGCTATTCTTGTGATACTTCCGGTATACTGGAAGCAGCAAGAACAGGAAATCTCATGAGAAAGCTTGTTCTTTCATAATTTTTAGTCCGAGTGACTCAGTTCATAAAAATTTAATAAGTATCCTCTAGACATGGCAGCTATTTATCTGAACTACCCGGTGAGGTCTGCAGAATCTTGGGGATATTCATTTACTGTCAGCTCATGGCACCCTAACTGTGCATTGCTAGGCTTTATAGTTCTCTAATATAAAAGGAAGACAGCACCCTGGATGTAACACTCCAGCAGCTAGAAGTCTGCACATTCTTCACAAGAGTCCAGCATGCTTTAAAATCCCAGCACTTCTGTCTCCAGATGTAAACAAATAATATGAATGACTTTCATGAAGAAAAATCCCGCCCTGCTTCATGACTATGAGAGCTCTGACCATAGTACAAGAAAAAGAGGGCATGAGTCCAGACTCCCCACCCCTGCCATGAGTGTACAGTCACTTCATGCTGCACAGCTGTGCTCTGAGAGATCTCCCCGTGCCCGGTGGGCTGAGACTGCTACGGGCTGGAGCCAGTGGATGCATGACTAAGCATTTGCCCTGCAGTGGAAAGTTTCAGGGATGACCCAAGGAAACCATCAAGACATGAACATAAGAAACGATAGCCATAGGATTTCATTCAAATAACCCTTGTCCTCCCTTTCCTGCTATTTCCTCCACATTGTTTTTGCTCGTATCTATCCTGTCTTGTCTAAAATACAGCCTGTTTTAGACAGATGAATGGGGCAGGATTTTTCTTTTTTTATTTGACTCTGAAGCATATATCTTGCTTTGGGGGACATCATACATGAGATTTTAGTAAGGGCCAGTGTATGCAAATTGATAACAAATTTATTCTCTGTCCTGGGATTTTAATAATACAATTCCTGTGGGTGAAACATAGCTACAGCCTGTTCCAAAGTCCATTAAAATCAAGGTGAGTATTTCCACTGACTTCAGCAGGCATAGGATCAAGCCCACTGTGACTTAAAACCTCTCCCAAATGTTTTGCAGAAGCTGTGCCGTTTAGCTTTAAGATGGACACACACGCTGTCAAAGATGATGACTCAGATGTAAACTCTTCCTGCAGTGTCGCTCTTGAGAACAAATGTCTTCCCTCTCAGTAACTGATTCAATATTTCTGGCTCTGCAGCTGCAATACCAGATTGCATTTTCAGTATTCCTTTGGCAATTTAAAGACCTTGTTGCAATCATCTGCTTCAACATATAGAGCATTTTCTGCCTGATTATGGGGTGCTGCCATTCTTTGTTTCCCGCACATGCATTCAGGATGCAGGTTTCTAATGATGTGCGACACTTGGGGTATTCGGAGATGGAATGTAACCACTTGAAACTGTTTGGTTTGTCACTTTTGGATTTGCTACATAAGGATATGTTAATACAAACGGGCCTGTTTATAATATTCATCAGACAGTGGAAGAAATTCCTCTAATGTCTGTATAATGCAGTGAGCAGACTTCTTGATTATTAACATACTGATTGTGTATCCTTATTTCAGATGTGAACTCAGCAATGGGGAGAGCTGGAGGAAGAAAAATATGAGACGCATGACGCATTTGGGATTCAGTCAGTGAAATATTTACACAGTTAGATCGTGGTTTTATGTAATATTTTCCTTTGGGGTAGTATTTGGAGAACCAGCTGAATTTTAGGTTCTTACCCAAATCAAGCCACACCTCTGAACATTGAAACAACCAGGATGGGTCAGGAAATGAGAGTAACATGACTTCACCCACCTCCTTCAATTTTTTAAAACTCTTGAAGTGCTTTTGATATGGGACTCAGGCATTCTCACACCCAGATCCCACCCTCACCTCCTTCAGCTCAGCATTTAAGCACATGCTTAACTTTAAATGCTTTGGAACAAAGCCTGTACTTCCGTGCTTTTCTGGCTCTTAAAGTATAAGCTATGTATGCTGAACGTATGAACTACGATGCTCTCAACGTTTTGAGCATCACCCTTTATACTGATAACCACCAGTTCTTTATTGCCAATGAACAATGATGATGGCTGCAGAGCAAGAAATTTGAAATGTTTGCATTGTTTAATCACTCCTGAAAACACAAGTCTCAGCAATCAGCATGCTTAATGTTTCTTGCCAGAAGTCACTTTAGTGGGTATTGGTTGCTGTATCCCGTCACCAGTTAGTTGCCAGCTTACAATACTTTCACTTATTTAATAATATACATTTTTGATGCCTTAGTCATAGGAAAAGAAGCAAATATTTTTTGTATTACTCAGTGTTTTCATCCCCTGGGTCTTATCTCCTGTTTTAATTTACTGTTTGTTATTTTATGAAGGAGCTTTCACTTTTGCTTAGTTTCAGAGCCCACCCTGGATATCCCCTGGATAGGCTGAAGTACATTAGATATGACATTAACTAGCATTAATGTGGAAATTTAGAATCCAAATAGAACTTGTACTGCTGCCCAATAATGAGTCATTGTCCTTTTTCTCTTTTTAGCCAACAGCAGATTCAGAAGCTGTGAGACAGTTTCCTGCAGATAAGAGATAAATCGAAGGGAAACCTGGCAAAAAGATGATGGTCAAGCTGCAAGATATCATTTCCTCCAAAGCCCCTACATACTAATTAACCATTCCAAGCATATTTTCAACAACATTTAGGGATTTCCTCGTCAAAATAAACTTCCTTCTATGTTATCTTCATTTTTGACATCTGGTAATACAGTTTGCTATAGGAGTGAGGGTTAAAAATTCCTAACACTGGTTATATATATCTATATGTGTGTACACACAGACAGACACACACATACACACACCACATGATTGAAGTTTTGCCAGTGTAGGAATCTTAGTGCCTGATCCAAATGCTTTTGTAGTCAATGACAGCTTTTGTGTTAACTTCAAATAAGTAGCAGGATCGAGCCTTTATCCTGCATCCAGATTGTTTCACTTATGTCTTATGACTTGTTTATAACAAATTACAGATGGGCTTGAAGTTCTAAGTATTTGGATTGGAGGTTTTGCTTTGGGCCCATCCCTTTAATTTACTACTTATTCCAATCCTGCCTTTTAAAGGGAAAATATCACCAGAATGAAAATGTCTGCAACCTTCTCATTTCCTTCCCCTTAAATTTTTCTCCTTTAGAAGCTGATTTCTTAACTGCACAATTAGTGTTAAAGTTGCCATTGAATGCAAAGTTGTCATACCTGATTTGCAATCTTTTCTGTTTAAAGTGCTATCAATTATTTTCTAACTAGATGCTCCTATGGGATCAGCTGTCACTAAGAGCAAATTTGAACACAATAGGTTGCTTCCTATTTCCAAAAGAATCTGAAGATTGTCAAGACTTGACAGGCAGCTCCAGTTTTAAGATGAAGCGGATAAGTTAGGTTTCCCTATTAGGCACTTTTGAAGAGAACAAGATAAAGAAAGCATTGTTTCTGGGGAGGGGTGCAAAGAGTGCAAATTTGAACTTATTAAGAATAAACTGGAAGTGCTTTGTGGCACAAAACCCAGCAAATTTGCACTGCATTTGATATTACAAATGCCTGTGCTGCTTTTCAAGCATTTTATGTGTCCCTGCCCTTAAATACATTTGTTTTCATAATTACGTTTTAAAAAACTTGAATGAAGTATACTAGAAAAAAAAGGAATATCTTTCAGTGAAAGCATTCTATACACATGTGCTTGTACATATACATATTCAAAAAGAGTTGATTTTTTAAACCAAACTTGTACTTGGTCAGCTACAGGTTAAGTTTATTTCTAGTATAATTTTGCTGACTCTAGAAAACTTACATATTACCATGGTAAAATATATCATGCATTCAATGGCAACTTTAACATTAATTGTGCAGTTAAGAAATCAGCTTCTAAAGGAGAAAAATTGAAGGGGAAGGAAATGAGAATGTTGCAGACATTTTCATGGCAACTACTCTGTTTACATTTGCACAAAACATGGACTAATACTAAATGTCATGGACATTATGAACATGTCTACAGGAGACAAGTTACTGTGCATTAGCATAGTTTACTGCCCATTAACAGCACATGTCTCCCTGCCCTGCCCACCCTGCCTGCACTGCCCTGGCCCTGGGTTCCCCCACAAAGCATTCAGGGAGGTGGGAGACAGTGCAGAACTTTATTAAGCAGCCTGTTCTCCCACAGTTAGGCAGGCATGGGGCTCTCACATGGTGAGGAATGCGTCAATGCCGGCAGCGATGTCCTCCTCAGCTGTAAGGGGCAGGGATGTGTAGTGCAGCCACAGACAGCCCTCCAGGCAGCAGCAGAGGTTTTGGGGTAGCCCAGGCCTGCCACTTGCACCGTCATAGCTCAGAGTCCCATACCAAGGGTTCAGGTGTACCCAGGGCACCATAGTGAACAGCAGCAGAGCATAGTGCATCAGATATCCCTCAACCCATGCAAACAGCTCCTCATGCACCATCCATGATGCACAGCAGGGGCACATTCAGGGTGCAGCATCAGTGTGGGTGGGGCCTGGCCTGGAGCCACCTCCCCAGAGAGGCCTCCTGTGGGGAGGGCATGGGTGTATCTCCTTGTCACAGGGGAGCAAGCAGGGGAGGGGGACTCAGCTGACAGCCGCCGACTTACCATGGTCCCTGGCCACCCGTGCAGGTCCAACCTCTGAACGGATGCCAGGCAACACACAGACCTCTAGTATGGAGCATCTTATCTGAGAAATGTTGTAAACTCTCACAAACAGCTTCTGTCTCATGGCTCTACAGGGTCCACAGCTGCATGCAGGCCACCCCTGGCAGCTGGAATGCAGCCTCAGGGTCACCACTGCCTACAGCTGGGGCCCTGTGGATGCTCTGGCTCCACCAGAGGAGGACTCAGGACAGGACTCTCCTGCAGCAGCTGGTTGCAATGTTGTGGGACTGGCTAGAGGACGCATAGGCCTGGAGGGAGGATGATGTTGCCTGGGAGGATGCATGGGACTGGCACGAGGAGGTGAGGAACTGGTGTAAGGAGGCGTGGGCCCAGGCAAACCGGGAGTTCCAGGCTCAGATCCTGGCTCTGGAGTGTAAGTGGCTCCAGGTGTTGCAGGAGCAGAATGTCATTCTGGGCCAGGCAGTGCAGGCCATGGACAATGACCATTGGGTTCTGGACACTGGTCTGGCCCTGGTGATCACATTTATGCTGCCCACTGCCCAGCCTCCAACCCTAGCCACACATGCCCGTTGGCAGCCACCTGCTGCCCTGCTGCAGGTCCCTGGCTGGGCCTACAAGGTGCTCCATCTACCGCGTCCAGCCACCAGAAGCCCCTGGCCCAGCCCTCCTGGCTGGGCCCAGCCCTGTCACTTAGCTGGATCCACATGGGCATGGAGCCAGAGCTGCTTGGACTGGTGCCAGGACTGCATGCCAGCCCTGTTGGGCCTGTACTGTGCCTGCTGGAGGGGGACCCCCCCCATGTTGCAGGAGCACTGGCCACTGTTGCCCCTGGGCAAATCCCCTGCCCACCGCACTTCTCACAATGTCTGCACCCATGGGAAAGCTTGCAGAGGCCAAGGTGTTAGCTGTCTTGCCCCAGGCTTTGCCCCCTAGGCACCTCCACACCATGGTCCCCCACTCCAAGACACTATAAAAGTCACTTTGTATATAGTTTGCACAGGGAAGAGGGTTTTTTATTATTGGTGGGTGGGGT